AAAAGAAAGCAAATAATTACAGATTGCTCACAATGCAAGCAGATCTATGCAGCAAAGGTGATTCTCAAGACAACTTACTTTGACTGACCACAAGCTTGTAGACTTTTACTCCAAAGCACACGTGCTTGTTGGGTATGTAGACTACATGTTGCCAGTACCCATGGAACTTCCACAGACTCTTGTTGACAGACACCCTTTGGGGAAGAATGTAGACTGATGTGAACTGATTAGACAACAGGTCAATATAGTAGCAGACACTTATTCACCAGATCCTTGAAAGGACACTTGTGACAACTTTCAAAATTAATTCCTTCAAAAACATCTGGCTATGTAAATAATCCCAAATCCCCCATCACCTCCTACCTTCCCCCTCTCTATCTTTCTTTGTCCCCTCTCTCTCTCTCTTTCTCTCTCTTGCCTGTCTTGCTGACTAGGATGCATTATCAGTACAGTGCTTCACTATTCCCACCAGAGGCCACTGAAAGTCCCATATCATTATTGCCAAGATTACCTTTCGTAGACATGACCTTCCCTATAAGGTCTTTATAGGAGAAGAATCTTGTCCTCTCAGACCATATTATCCCCCACCCCATCAGTGTCAGAAATGTTGGAGTTTTGGTTGTCCTGCAAAGCACTGTCACTCCACAGCCCACTACCCATTATATGGCCAACCTAGTCATGACTGAATGATGAAAACACTACCATGTTGATCTAGTTTTTACATTGTGGATTTTTCTACCCTAGTCATGACTGTTAAAGCTACCCTGCACAGTCACGTATGTGCCAGTTGTGGTGGCTCCTAGAAAGTATTTTATAAGGGCTGCCCTGTGTACAAGTTAGAGTCTGAGATAGCAGTTCATAAATACAAACTTGGCCTCACTCTATGAGAGGCCAGACAGAAAGCACACTAACAAGGTTTTTAAATCACTCCCTACTCCAATCCATCCTTCATTCCACTCTTATCCCCTCTACCCAAGTACAACAGTGCCACTTCCCCCTACTCCTTAACTTCCCACCTCTACTCCCCCTATCTCCCAGTCAATTCCTTTTTCTGTTCTAGATCTAGATACTCCAATATCCACATCTCCTCGCCTTACCTATTCCCCAGGCAGTCCAAATATTCAACCCCATCTTCTCCTATCATCTACTTCTCAGATACCTATCTCCTCTTCACCTCCCTTCATTTCCCAAACCTTCCCCCCACCCCTCTCCAAAAATTTGAGGCCATCCAACAACAGTGTCCCTCTCTGGCCCCTTTATCTCCTGATGCTACACCTCCTCCCCCTGATCCCCTAGCTCTTTCCCCAGGCTCTTTTCTCCTGCTTCTATGACACCCATTTCTACCCATATTACCCATTAATTACTTCATAATGACTCTTCTGAAGTGGAATATTTTAGGTTTCTGTTCTTACAGATCTGACCTTCATCACCTGTCTTCTTATAACCCATCCTTTGTCTGCCTCCAAGAAAGCTTCCTCCAGCACTATTTCCCAATTACCATTTTGTATCATCCACTCACTTCCTCCTCCATATTTGTCCATCACAAAACACCATATGTTATACCTCCCTTACACTATATATGTATCTGCATTTTTCTCCGCAGATGGATCACAACTGTTTCAGTCTACTTCTCCCCTTTCCTATTAACTTCCCCTATTAACTTTATAAGCATTTAAACCTTTCCTGATAGTAGGAAATTTTAACTATTGCCACACCCTCTGGGGTGACTCATTATTACTTCCCGAAGTCGCTCCTTAGAACACATTCTCTCAAATACTGACCTTATCCTCCTAAATTCAAACCATTCAACTCACTTTGACATGAGTACCCAATCGTTTTCATGCCTTGATTTTTCTCTTTGCTCTCCTTCCCTTCGCCTAGACTTCCATTGGTCAGTTCTAGACCACTTTCATTATAGTGATCACTTCCCTATACTCCTTTCTCCTACTTCCTATGTCCCACTTCCCACTTCTGTTAAAGGTGGTGCTTTAACAGAGCTGACTGGCTTACCTTTACCACTCTCTCTACCCTTGATCTTCCTCCTTCATCCTTCTCTTTCATTTCAGACTTGCTTCTACATTTTGCAGCCAATATCCTAAATGCAGCCTATAATGCCAAACTTCCCGACCTTACGCTTCAAAAGAACTCAGTAGAACTCTACCAATATGAGAGGCACCCCCAGTCAATTAACAACCTTCATATCATTTAAAAAGGCATCAGCTCATCTTCACAGTACAATACAAAACTCCATCAGAAAGAACTGGCAAAATAATGCTTCCTCCTTAAAATCATCCACACCTGTCTCTGCAGTCTGGCAGTGGATTCATAAACTATCAGGTAAACATCATCCTCATCCTGCCTCTGTCCTTCATTCCCACAGTAGCCTCATCTCTGACCCATTTTCAAGTAGCTACTGAACTTGGTACCTATTTTAGCCATGCAGTACAAGATCTCACCTTTCTCCTCACTTCTCTTTATTAAAATCAGGCAAAGAGTACATTCTGATCTCCTCCCTGTTCTCTGCAGAATCTTATAATACATCTTTTTCTTCTTCTGAAATCTGTTATACATTATAGCCATGCTACAACACTCAGATTTGCCTTCCATACTTGCTCTTCTTTCCCTCAAGTTGAAGGTGCCCCACAAGGCAGAGTGCTTAGTACCTCATTATTTCTCAGATGGATTAGCTTCAGTTCCAGTACCAGGAATCCAGTCATCACTGTACGAAGATGATCTTGCTATTTTTGCCTCTGGTCCTTCCATACCAGCCTTCCATCAGCTTCTCTGGTCAGCAACAACATCAATCTCTTCTTGGGCTACCAACCATAGTTTTCAATTTTCTACCTATAAAACCTTTTCCATCCTTTTTTCTCTTTCATGTATAAACTCCCAACCTCTCCTCCTCCTATATGAAGCTCCCATCCAATTCCACCCTTCAGGCAAGTTCTTTGCTGTATTTTTGACTCCCAGCTGTCTTGGCAAGGACATATCCTTTCTGTTAACCTGTCAATGAGGGTACAGTGGAACTTCCTATAATAGGCACTTCCCGGACTTGGCAACTTCCCCTAATAGGCGGATTTTTCGCGGTCCCGGCCGGTACACCTGCGTTGAACCCCAACTTCCCGGACTTGGCAACTTCTCGAAATTGGCACTTTTGGCTGGGTCTCTTGAGGTGCCTATTATGGGAATTTCCACTGTATCAGAAATCTCTGGGTATCTGGTGATTTCTGGCAACCATCCTGCCTTTGGCCTGGGACTCAGCTACATGTAGCAGAACTTCTGTGACTCACTCTAGTGTGTCTCGACATCTATAGCTGTACCCAGCATGATGAGTCAGTTTGTTATGACAACTATCGGTGTGGCCCAGCAGATACGGGTTTAAGAAAATGCTATTGTCGCCTTCAACTCTTACAAACCATTTCACATATAACTGGGATTCAGACCATAAAACATTCCTCTGTCTCCCTATTACCCTAATCCACTCCACTCTTGATTATGGCTGCCATATATATTCTTCTGCCTTCCTTCACACTCATTTTGGCACAATCCATCATTGCGATCCTCTCCAGTTGAGAACCTGTATACAGAATCGGGCCTATCTCTTTCTTGACATCATGCTCTTTTGTCTCCAAGAAGCTGTGCTCATCTTCATCTTTTCTCTCTCTCTCCCTCCCTCCCCTCTCTCCCTCTCTCCTTCTCTCCTTCTCTCCTTCTCTCTCCCCCTCCAAGCTAATTGTCCCTTGGTCCCTTCTTCATACCTTCACCTCTCCACATATGCATACCCCTTTCTGTCTTTGTATGGACACTGCTTGTCCATTCACCCATTCCTCATCTCTGATCCCTTCCTCTTTCTGCCCAATCTTTCCGTCCTTAGCTAATACCTTCCTCCTGTAATTGCTCTTCTATTTTCCCTGATCCACCCAAATCAAACATCCCACCTTCTATCCTCCTCACACATTTTCTTGCATTTATCTCTAGTCACTCCTCCTAAATCTAATCTCTTTACAACAGAACTGTATGCCATCCTCTTCACTTTACAATGCATGTCTTCCATCTCTTCCTCATCCTTCACCATCTTCACTGACTCACACTACTCATTATCACTCATGCAAACCATAGACCCTATCAACCTTATAGTCCATAAGATACAAGACCAGTTATTTTATCTGTCTACATGACAGAAAGCAGTGAAGTTTTGATGGATACCCAGCCATGTTGGGATCCCGGCAGTGAACAAGCAAATGCCTTGGTACAATCTGCCACCTTGTCCACAACTCACCAACCCCACTTTTCACACATTCCAGCCACCAACTATTACTCCCACTTTAAAACTTTCCTCTATATCTGCTGGCAGGCTTTCTGGTCATGTTTAACCACCCAATAAACTTCAAACTATGAAACCTTCCATGAGCAATGTTCCTCTCTCAGTCCCACATATCCTGCCCACACTATACTAAAGCCTGTACCCTTGCTTTTCCTTACTTGTTCTCCTTTCCCTGACCCCCAACCTGTCCAGCACCCTCATAAAATCCCCTGCCTTTTCAATCAACAGCTTGCTCTTCCTTAGATGCATAATTACCCTCCATTTGATCTAACCACCTTTTGATCTAATCACCCTTTCCCTCAGCCCTTCCCCGCCTATCCTACCCCATTTATACTCATATCACTACCATGCTATCTTATAATGCCATATGATTGTTGAAATCAAAGACATTTTGTTCTAATGTAGAACTTCTTTAAACCCCTCTCACCACAATATTTTACCATAGTGCTATATGACCTTAGATGTCTGCCACATTTCTTTGTTTAAAACAGTAAACATTAAAACATTATATTATATATTACATTATAAGGAATCTAATCATATTAATAGTCATATTAACTGCCCAAATAATTATGATAAAAAATTAGTTGGTGCAATAAAAATCAAGATTACATCCATAATAAAGAAGGCAGTTAGTTGGAGAGTGTAAGATCAGTAGGCCTGCAATTCATTAATTTTTCACAGCCCTATCAATGTAAGTGTTATTTTAATGTGGAACTAGTTGGGAGCTATAGTATGTACAGATAATGTAGTAGTAAAATATAACATTTTCTGGTCCCAACAGAGCAATCCGCATGGTGAATCCAATAAAAACCCCAGCCCCAAGCTTAAAGATAGTCCTAAACAATGCTGGTGAAGCACACAGTGTGTACTACTGCCACCTTTGCGGATGTGAGTATCAAGTCAAGTACAATCTACAAAAGCACTTAGCAACTAGGCATACAGAAGAGGAGAGAGATGCTGTACCTGAGTAAGTTTTTCTTTCTCTTTCTGTTTTCTTGAGGAGAAATATTTAATTTGTATTTTGTTATTTGTTCTTTTATTATTGTTGATGTGTAATTCATAATTGAGTTCAAGAATTCTTAATAATTTTACCTTGTCCTTCCTTAGGTTAAAAGGACATTAAAGCAAATTGTGTGGAGACAATAGTCATAAAGGGAATTAATTTTTATCTTCCTATTAAATAGTGCACTTTCAATAATTTTTTGCCATTATTGTGAAATTTTGTCAAGGTTTCTGTTCAAATGAAAGAATTTCATAATCAAAAATAAATAAACAATGATGTTGCTGTTGATGTTATCTGTCATCCGCATTAACAGAGAAGTAATGCAGTGCAATGTCTGCTCAGCTTTATTCTACTCCAAGAGAGCATACGAGGCACACAATCATCATCATCGTGAGAGTGACCTATATGCTACAAATGAAGAAATGAGGTAGGTCCCTTTATATGTTTGGAAATTTTGTCAAATTGTCAGTTATTGGAATTATTGTGCAAAGAAACAGGGGTTTTGCAGAACATCAATATAGAAAAGTATCATAGTCAATTAAATGGTTTAATTAGGCTTCTATTCTTAAATTTCCATAGGCAACAAGTTGTCCAGAGAATTGACCAAGACTTTGACCAAAGGCGAGTACCCACAACAGTCGAGCGTTATCTCTCTGCATCTGCAATAAGCTCCAATCGTTCAGCCACATGGCGCAACATCAGGGCTGCTAAAAGGAATCAAGAAATAACACAAACTTCTCCAATATGTGAAGCAACCCAGGAGAAGAGTATACCTCTAGTAGCTACAGATAATGAGAATAGCTTAGTTCATAATAAACCAGATATCAGTACCATGAGTAACACAATGGACACGGAGCCTCCCAATGTGGTTGATTGCTTCTTACAGGAGAATGACTCGTGCTGGGAATCACAAGGACAGGTTAGCAGAAAAAGACTGATTGATGATGGAGAAGAAGACCAGGAGATCAGCAGACTTGGAACTGTGAACCCCGATACAGTAATGCCAAATCCTGGAATGATACTAGGGCAAAGTAATGAAGACCTAGATAGTAATAATGAAAAGCCACAGGAGACAAAAGTAAGGGCTGAAAAGACTCAAGAGTTTGGAAGTGATACTGAGAAGCAGGACCAATCTGAAATGGCAGAAGAAAAGGACACAAGTCAAAGTAAAGGAGATAGTAATGACAGTGAAGAGAGTGATGGAGATCTGGTGGTAAGTGCATTACTTTTGTAAGATAAAAAATATATATTGATAGCTCATAAAGGTGTGTAAATGATATTCTTTTATAGATAAAATTAACCAGTTTTATATATATCAGCCATTTGCTCTCCATATTTAAAGGTGGAGAAAATAGTGGGAATGCGAAAAGCTACAAATGGCAGAGAATTCCTAGTAAGATGGCAGGGATTTGAGCCAGCAGACGACACATGGGAGAGGGAAGAGTTCTTGAGTTGTGGAAATCTTATATCTGATTTCCTCAAGAATAGAAAGGTGAGAAAAGAAAAACTGCTTGTTTTTATGTACTATTACCTTGTATGTCATTAATTGTTTATTCTTTATTTTCTCCATGATATAGCAAGTTAATGTTATTTCTTAGTTTTATAGTTTTTTTTGGCAATATCAATGCAACATACTTAAAGACAAACAGTTTATAACCAAATTGTATAAAACTCCATTATTCCAGAATGCAGCAGTCAGACTAGGAAGAGAATACAAATGCACATGTAGTGATGATAAAATGAGCATCAACTATCTGACTTAAACTGTTGGGTCTGGGTGCCTCACAAGCTCATACATGGACCAAATCCCAGGCATTAAGCTTATTTGAGTGGTGACTTTCCTGGGTGTGTGCTATAAGCTTCTATTCTGCCTGTGCTATTTTGCCATTTTTTGAGGTCTATATTTTCATTTGTTATGCTGTATAAAGATGGTAATTGACAGTTTTACTTGAGTAGACTCCATATTATATGAAATAACAATATTAGTAATTAACAGTCTGATATTTATGTTATCTTGCTATATTTTTGTAATATTCAATTTTCCATAACACCCTTTGCCAGCATGGCTAACAGAAAGTATATTCCACCCTCATTTACCCTTCCTAAATAATAATAATAATAATAATAATAATAATAATGATAGTTTAGTTTGACTCCATTTGTTACAATGGCTATTCTTGGTGTCACATACTGTCTTTTATTTTGCTTCTATATTATCCCCTGTGTTCAAGGAATGGCCAGGGTTACCATCCACTGGCGGCAAGGGATTTGAATGCAGGTTAGCAAGATTGCTAGACAAGATCGCTACCGCTGCACCACAGCCCACTGAATTTAATTTCTCTTTGAGAGTATTGTGCACTTATAGTTAAATGTTCTCATCTGCCACTTGGCAATAAAATTTTGTGATGACACATTCCTGGATTCCAGCCCTTCAGCCAAATTTTTCCACCATTACACATTCCTGTCATCTGCCACTCAGCTAACTTTTTCATGAAGTGACACCCCTGTCACCCAGATCCAGCAGGTTAAGAGTGAAAATCATCAAACTGATTTCACATATTAAAACTTTCTTATTTTCTCACTGAACAGGGAAAGCCTGACGGGCAGGGGTTAGAGGCACCAATAGAATGGTATGAAGCTCCAAAGCGGAAAAAGCGGAAAGAGCAGAAGGGCAGAGGAGGTAAAACCGAATAGGCCACAAAAAAGAAAAACGAGGAACATTCCACACTTTCTCAACCTTGAGATGTGATATTAATTATTTGTTATCTATTTATATTTTATTTAATTGCACATTGTCTGATAATGAGCAAGATTTTCTGCAACCGCCCTGCAGCATATAACATCATTGAAACTTCTTTTGTGCACTTGATGAAATTTTAAGATTCTTTATCTTACAAATTTTAGTGTAGGTAATAATTATTAAGTACCATGGACTGTAGATTTTAAACTGGTGCCTGGATTTAGAACCAGCATCTCCGTTAGATTTGCTCTTCTTAAGTAAAGTGGAACAAAGGAGCATAGTCTGGCATGCAAATTACAAATTTGAGATTAAACTATATTTGTTAGACAAGTCTTATTATCTTCATAACTGAGCAGCAGTCCATTAAGGCAGTGGCATTGCTATTGAAGGACCTGTGCATTTTAATTCAGTGCATCATTTTCTCATTCATAAGGCTGATGTTGAAATAAAAGGGGGGTTAATGATGTGCAACATTGATAGAAATCTTGCATTTCTTATATTTGAATATCTGTAGCATAAGAATATATATTGATGTTCACTGCAGGTATTGATAGCTATGTCACATGTGCTTCATATTCAGTAGTTACATATCTCTATACACTTTTATTTTTGTAAAAGCATTCACTGATACAAAACAGTCTTCCGAGCAAATAGTTAATCAAATTAAGTGTGATAAACAAAATTTATTTATTAATGCCTATTGCAGTGTTGTAGGTGAACCAGCTATATAATGTCTTTGTTAATGCATGTAAATATTGTAAAAAATGTAAGAAATAAGAGATGTTATAAAATTTCTAAAGAATTTTGTGTTTGCTTTTCCCTTTTCTTGTTTTATATCCATTAAACTCTGTTGATTAAGTAAGAATTACAACTTTCCCTTCTTGCTCTGTCTCATTCAGTGTCAGTTGCATATGTATATATTGGTTTGTGTGGATTCACTGGAAGTGCACCCAGCTGTTCCCCCTCAGCAGCCAAAAAGATCATGTTTCTCACCAGAACACGTATAGAAGATATTTCCAGTAACACACATGCACTTTCTATCATTCTCCCCCCTCCTCTTTCTCTCCTTTCCTTTCTCCTCTCTCTTGCCTCTCCTTCTCTCCTTTCTCTCTCCTCTTTCCTCCATTTTCTCCTGCTCTCTCCTCTCCTCCCTCTCCCTCTCCCTCTCCCTCTCCCTCTCCCTCTCTCTCTTGTGGGTGCGTATACACATATGATGTGCGCATATGTCTATGTGTATGCATGTGCATGTGTGTAGTTGTGTATGATATAGGATTATGTGTGCATATGATATGCATAGGCTAAACTACTCCCCCTTCCACCAAGATACACTTAGCCAGTAGGTGGGGGCAACTAGGTTGTCTACCTCTCAATCGAAGGCCATGATTGCAGAAACAGAGCAACGGCCCTCATTCCCCGAAGGCGAAAGAGCCCCTGGATACGGCGTCGATCAGGATCGCTCCGGAGCAGAGGGTGCCAAAAATCTCTGGTTAAAAACAGGCCGCCCCACGTTGATGAATCTTTGCACATATAATATAAAGACATTGAGAACTGAATCCGACTTACTAGCATTACTTGTGGAACTCTCATTAAAAGGGATGTTGTAGGACTCCGTGACGTTAAAGACTGGGTGAAGGACAGATGATATTAAATGATGGACATGTGCTTTATTGGAGAGGTAAACCCCAGGGTAGCAAGCAGGAATTACGGGTAAGTTTCTTAGTTCACAAACATTTAGAAAAAATATCATGGAATTCTATAGTATAAACGAATAAAAGGTACAATTTAAAGATTGTCCAAATTTATGCCCCAATCTGTAGCCACAGCGATGAAGGAATTCTATAAAGATGTTCATTTAGCCAGTGAGAGAGTAAAAACCTATTTCTCAATAATTATGGGAGATTTTAATGCCAAAATAGGTAATAAGACAGGAGAAATCGTAGTGGGGAATCACGGAATAGATACTTGGAATGAGAGGGGACAAATGCTAATCGATTTTACGGAGGCACTCAATATCATGAATATATTCCTCGAATACTAGGGGGGAAGTGGACATGGAAGTCGCCATCTGACATCAGAAACGAAATTAACTTCATGATTTCAAACAGGCGCGATATAGTAAAAAAAAAAGTAAATATTGGTAGCGACCATGGAATGGTCAGAGGCCAAATTAAATTACACCTCGGAAGGGAAAGGAAGAAACTCATACGAAAACAGCAGCCAAATTTAGCTAACTTGAAGTCTAGAGCTACAGAATTTTGTCTTAACATCCAAAACAGATATTCGCTTCTCAGCGACGAAGATCTTAACACTGACCAAATCATCAAACAGGTAAAAGGAGATTTGGAATAGGGAGAAATCAAATGTATGCAATAAAGAAACCAGACGGAGAAGTGACATATAATAAGAATGAAATCATAAGAGTAGTGGAAGACTTTTACAGGAATCTATACAACTCAAGAGAACAGCTAAGCCAATCTTTTTGATAAATGCATTCTCAACGGAAAAGCCTGGGAAAATGCAACAATTATTTTGATACATGAAAAAGGAGATATAAAAGATTTAAAAAACTCCCGATCCGTAAGCCTCCTTTCAGTTACTTATAAACTGTTCACAAAACTCAACACAACTAGCATCTCTGACAGTCTGGACAGGGTGATACCATCTCACCAAAACTGTTTACAGCTTGTCTTGAGGAAATATTCAAGAAGTTAGAATGGAACAGAAAGGGTATCAAAATAGGAGACAAATACTTAAACAATCTAAGATTTGCAAATGATATTGTTCTTTTCAGTGCATCTGCAAATGAAATACAGCAAAAAACGATCTGCATAGAGGATGTCTGAAAGTCGGACTTAGGATGAACAAGAAAAAGACTAAGATCATGTTCAACAGTAGAGTTCATTTCGAACAGATGCATGCACAAGGTGAAGTGCTAGAGGTAGTGGATAAGTATATATGCCTTGGGCAACTCGTACAGGCAAACACATCTAGCAAAGATGAAATTAAGCGACACATCAGTCTAGGACTGGAGCGCCTTCAGTAGACACAGTAGCATACTAAGAGGCTCCTTGCCATTTTGTCTAAAAAGAAGTCTTTAACCAATGACCTATAGATCAGAAGCATGGATTATAACCAAATTACTGGAGAGGAAACTAATAAGTGCCCAGAGAGGGATGGAGAGGTTAGTGTTGGGAATTTGCCTAAGAGATCGGATGAGGGCATCAGGTAATGAGTCAAAAGTGAAAGATATACTTGTGAGCATCAAAAAGAAAAAGTGGAAATGGGCAGGTGATTTATGTTGAAGACAGGACGACAGATAGACAAAGAAAGTAACATACTGGGCTATAGATAACATAAAGTGGCCAAGGGCCAGACCAGTGACAAGATGGCGTGACGAAAAAACGAAATTTGGGGGCCAAGACTGGAAACTTTGAAAGACAAAGTTGGAAATGATTGGGATTGGTTTACATTCTGCAGTGGATTAATTCAGGATAATGATGATGATATCTATGTATGTATATTTATGTATATATATGTATTTTAGATATCTATTTATATATATCCCTTTCTCTCTCTCTCACTCTCTCTCTCTCTCTCTCTCTCTCTCTGTGTGTGTGTGTGTGTGTGTGTGTGTGTGTGTGTGTGTGTGTGTGTGTGTGTGTGTGTGTGTGTGTGTGTGTGTGTATTTATATATATATATATATATATATATATATATATATATATATATATATATATATATATATATATATATTTATGAATATATGTATTTATATATACTTATATATATATATATATGTATATATATATATATATATATATATATATATATATATATATTTATATATGCACTTGTGTGTATATATACACACACATATATATATATATACATATGTATGTATATGTGTATATATATTTAAGTACACATATAAATATATCTATGTAAATAAATATATGCATAAATATCATCACCAAGAGGCTAACGCCGACGGGGGTGCATGGCCACATCCACCCTTCGCTTCCAGCCACGAGGGTCCCTCATGACAAGTCTCCTGGCAGACCCTTGGTCCATATATAACTCCTCGTGACAGGTCTGGTCGAGCTGCCCAAGCCATGACCTCCTCCACCCAGGATTGTCTCGCAAAGAAACAACCTAATGGGCAGGATCATCCACAGGGAAACGAGCTAGGTGCCCATATAGCCTGAGTTGGCGATCCCAGATTACGAAGTAACAGGTCCCATGCCGTCGGTTGGACACATGGTCCTGCTAACTGCAGACTTATTACAAAAGGCATCAAGACGAGACACCAAGGCACTAGATAGCATCCAGGTTTTGCTTCCATAGAACAAAACTAGCTTGGTCCTTCTGCATAGGTATCGACATCTCCAAATTCTCGTGTCGATCGAGTTTATGTGCTCCTGCTGCCAGGCCAATCCATCTACTGACTTCTTGGTCTGACAGCCCAGAGATATGGACTACGCTACCAAGGTTCGCCAAGCTTTCTATGACTTCAACGTCCTCATCGCAAGCATGGATCAACTGAACGGTTTCCCTAACTGGCCCCCAAAGTTATGAATCTTGGTCTTGGTTCATGAGACCTCTAGGTCCAAGGGCTTTGCCTTATTGCTAAATGCATCAAGAGCCGCCACCAGTGACTCCAAACTCAGATAGGATAGCAACATCGTCGGCAAAGTCAAGGTCTGATACCTTGATATTGCCCAGTGTTGCTTCACACTGACTTTGGATAGTAGCTCTGCCCATTATCCAGTCCATGTAAAGTGTTTGTGCATGGACACAGATTTGCCTCACCCTTGACTTTACAGGGAAGAAGCTTGACAGGCCCCCACCACACTTTACAGCACTTTATCGGTATATAGGCTTGATATTAGGCCAATAATCCTAAGTCTCAGAATCTCTCACAGAGATTCTCGATGCACAGAGTCAAACGCCTTCTTGAGGTCCATGTAGGCTGCAAATAACCTACAACCGAACTCATGACAGCGTTCCACAATTACTCGAAGTGCTAGGATATGGTCTATTGTGGAATTGTCAGGAGTGAATCCAGACTGCTCCGGTCTCTGCTGGTCCCTTAGTAGGTGGTCGTGGACCCGTTTCAGAAGAATGTTGTCAAAAACCTTGCCTGGTATGCTGAGCAGTGCGATGCCAATGATCCCCTTCCATAGAGAGATGACTACACCCCTCAACAGGTCAGAGGGAATATAACCAGACTGCCGGATGGCAGTCAAGACTGCATGCAAGCTCGTGCCATGGGTTCACCCCCAGCCTTTAGCAGTTCAGCAGGGATATAATATATGCCTGCGGCTTTCCTCCTCTTCAGCTTACATATCGCCATCCTAACTTCAGTTAGGGTAGGAGGTTCCTCACTGATGGATGGGTCAGGCACAGGTATTGTGATACCACTTGCATCCAAGCTAACTGTTGGAGGGTCTACCTAGTACAGTTGCTCAAAACGTTCACGCCAATATGACCTGAGATGATCTGTCTACTGAACAGACTGCAGTCATCTATGAGGGGAACTTAGAGTTCAATTTTCTCAGGGCATGGTAGGCAGGGCGAAGGTCATTTACCAAGAAATGGCCTTCAACCTCCTCAGCAAGATTCCTGATGAAGTGTTCCCTTCTCAGCGGTGTCCGAGCCCTACGGACCAAAGAGCGACGCAAGTCCTGATTGCCATTCAGCCGAGCCATAAAACACGCTTCAGTGCCCTCCATTGTCTCCATAAATATATATTTATATTTATATATATATATATATATATATATATATATATGTATGTATAT